CAACAGAGACAAGGGATTGTTCCACCACCAGTGCAGAACCACAACTTTGAGATCAAGCTGGGAATGATCAACCTTGTCCAGAACAAGATGTTCCATGGATTGCCAAGTGAAGACCCCATTGACCACCTTGATGAGTTTGATAGGCTTTGTGATTTGACAAAGATCAATGGTGTCTCTGAAGATGCCATCAAGCTGAGACTCTTTCCTATGTCTCTAGCTGACAAAGCTCACCAATGGGAGAAGAGCTTGCCCCATGGCACAATCACCACTTGGGATGAATGCAAGAAGGCCTTTCTTGCTAAGTTTTTCTCCACCGGTCGCACAGCCAAGCTTAGAGGAGAGATATCCAGCTTCATCCAGCGAAACAATGAGACATTCGCAGAGGCTTGGGAGAGGTTCAAAGGCTACACAAGTCAGTGCCCACACCATGGATTCAACAATGAATCACTACTCTCCACTCTTTATAGAGGATGCTTGCCTAGGTATAGGGAGATGCTAGACACAGCTAGCAATGGGAACTTCCTCAACCAGGATGTAGATGATGGCTGGCAACTTGTGGAGAACATAGCTAACTCAAATGGAAGCTATGGAGAAGAGTATGATCGCACCAACCGGAGCTCGACCCACCACTCGATCGAGTCAGACGAAAAGTTGAGAAAAGATGTTAAGGCATTGAATGAGAAGTTGGATAAGCTGATCCTAGCTCAGTCCACAATGAAGAAAGTCAACTTTGTGTCTGCTGAGGAGATGGAACCAGTCCAAGAAGGGGAGGATACACAATTTGCTGAGGTGTGCTACATGAGCAATGGGCAAGGAGGTTACAACAAAGGATACTATAATACAAGTCCAACCCTGCCATGTCATACCGCAACACTGATGTTGCTAACCCTCAGGACCAAGTCTATCCTCAACAACAAGCAGCTCGATCGAGTCAAGCCACAACATGGGTATGGTCAAAAGAACAATTACCAAGGACCACAAGGCACTTTCCCTGGACAACAAATGAATATCCCACCAGGCTTTCCCCACCAACCACCCCAGCCTGCACCTTCACAAGAGAATGAGCTCAAGGCAATGCTAAACAACTACTTCAAGGGCAAGCTGATGGGTAGTGGACACAAGCAAGAAGCTAGCTGAAATAAACTCCAAGATCGAGAATCTCAACACAAGGGTTTACTCTCTGGAGAATCATGCTTCTTCTGTTGCTGCTGCTACAAAGCAAGGACAACTACCTGGTAAAGCTATTCAGAACCCCAAGGAACAGTGCAAGGTCATCTTCACTCAAGAAGGACTTGTTGAAAAGAGGATCAAGAGAGAGTCATTGAAGATTTTTGTTTACTGCTGAATGATGATGAGATTGTTGCTGCTGAGGCTCCTGGAGTCCAGATTGATCAACCAGAAGTGCAGGCACCTACTGTGGCCCTTCACACTTCACCAGTTGAGCTCGCACAACAAGCTCGATCGGCAGCTCGATCGAGTCGACTCTAGCTCGATCGAGTCCGACCTCATCTGTCCCAAACCATTTTGCTTGATCCTTACCAACCGGTTGCCACTTCCTCGTCTCGCCTACTTAGTCAAGGGCACAAGGAAGTGATTCACAAGTTCAGAAGAGATCTCAGTGGGATTGGAATTGAGTTGCCTCCTATGGATAGCATGAGTGAGGCATTTGATCAAATGCAAATGGTCAAGGATGTTCTAGCCAACAGTGATAAAGTTTCAGAGGTCCTGAAGAGTCTACTCATCAGTTCAACCTGCTTACTTCACCCACTTTCCTACCAAAGGTCAAGGATCAAGGGAAATTCACTCTCCCTTGCACACTTGGGCATCTTGAGCTTGACAATGCCTTAGTGGATTCTGGAGCAAGCATCAATCTGATCTCTCTCTCCATGGCAGAGAAGCTAGGCATTGCTGGAGCCTTGCAGCGCCCTACTACTTCAATCATGTTTGGAGATGCAACTTCTAAGTCTCCTCTTGGAGTGTTCAAGAACTATCACTTGAAAATTGGAGAATGCATCATCCAAACTGATCTACTGTGATGGAGATGGAAGAAGAGAAGGATCTACCTCTGTTATTGGGAACCCCATTCCTTAGTACAGTTGGCGCTTCAATAGACTTTCACAAGCAAGAAGTGATCCTTCACAAGGTGAATAGTTTGGTGTCATATCGCTTGCAGCCTAGAGGTTCAGACTTTTGTGCCACAATTGACAGTACCACTCTCAGTTCTAAGAGTCATGAAGCTACAAAGTTGTGAAGGAAAGGGTTGACAAAGAACCAAGAGTTGGGAAGGATAAGGTTGAGAGAGGACCAAGGATTGAGAAGCCACGTCTTGAGAGGGCTAGAGTTGAGAAACCACGTTCTGATAGACCACGAGCTGATAGACTTGTTCAAGCCCCTTGTGTGCTTGATGAAGAAAGCCTTCAAGCTTTGTTTGATGAGCCACTAGGAAGGGCTCTAAAAGAAGGGGAGGATGTAGCCTCTAAGGCAAGACCAGGTGATAAAAGAAAGGATCCACCAGCTCAGGCCCCTTCATTCAAGCCATCTCAGCTCACAATGACTTTGTTCCCCACCAAGTTTGAAAATGGGAAGATTGAGTACAAGATAAGGTACAAGGGGAGATCAAGGCCATTCTCTAGAGCCAAAGCCTTGGTGACTTCAGAACAATCCAGGGACCCAACCAAGCTAAAGGAGCTTCTGTCTCAAGTCCTCACTATCACCCTTGATGGTGGGACTAGCTCAACCAATGCCTAAGAAGGTAAAGGTCAAGCTATGGGACCTTAAACAAGCTCACTTGGGAGGAAGTCCCATGTTTATCCTTGTACATATTCTTTATGCAATTTCTATCTAGTTTTGTGTTTTAACCTTTCAATAAGTTAAGTTTAGGTGACAAAGAAGCTACCTCGATCGAGCCTAGAAACAAGGGCAACTCGATCGAGTTCCACAACTCGACCAAGGTAAGTTTTCAAAATTCAAATTTTTCCAACCGTTTCCTTGGTCAAGGGAGTGGGTCCCACAAGTTAATTTTGGTCCCCCACTACCCTGAAATCGATCAGAAAAACCCTTGCCTTTTGTCCTCCCTTTATTCACCTTTTAATCTCAACCACACATCTCAAACACTCCCTTTTCCCCATAACTGTATCGAATCCACCTCTTGCACTCTCCCACACCCTAAATTTTCTGAAATCACCCTTTGATGTACTTGCATTTTGCATAGTTTTAGTACATCTTTTATGCATCTTTTGCATAGTTTTAGCATCCATTAGCATCATATCTTGTTCCTTTTCTCTTCTTATGCATTCATAGTAGTTTTAGGTTGCATTTGCATACATATGCATGTTTGGTCCTTTGAAATAGGTCTTTTGGAGCATTCTGGAGCATATGGGACGTGAGGAGCATGGAAGGACTTGGCGCATGGACGCAGCTCAACTGGATACGCAAAGGAAGAAGGAGGAAGCCATCTTGAAGACCAGCTCGACCATCTACTCGACCAACCGGTCGAGTTCCTCAACTCGACCGGCCAAGCTTCAACTCGATCGAGCTGAGAAGTCAACAGTCAAACCCGAAAAATGTTGCTTCCCCCTTGACTTTCCTTTGACCCTAAACCTAATCCTCTTTGTATTTAAGGGCTAAAAGCCACGAAAAAACCACCAAGCTTTAGATTACTTTTGTTTTAGTTTCTTTTTAATTATTGTCTTTACTTTTGAGAGCTCTAATCCCATCTTTGTGTTCTTGAAGCTCTTGCTTCTTGAATCCTAGATCCTGGATAATCTCTTTTGTATTTGCACTTGCTTATTTCAATAAAAGTTGTTTATTTCATCTCCTCTTTCTTATGATGTCTCTTTTATTGCATTTGCTTGTGTTTACATTCATGTGTAGTGAGTAGTTTCCCTTAGGGTCAAAGATGGGATAGATTAGGGGATTTTATGCTTAATCCTTCTTGCTTATGTTCTTAATCTAGAAATCTCTCTCTTTTGGACAAACCTTAAGGCTACATGACCACTATCCCTGGCTTGTATGTCCATAGGCGATTCTCCACATGGAAGTGATGGAAATCGTTGGAAAGGTCCACTAAGAGCTCCAATAACTCTTGCTCTAGAATATGGAGTCATAGGGGTTGGATGGATTAGTTTGAGCAATGATCCTATGGCCTCCAAGGCTTGATTCTCACTGGCTAACCCCCTGTTTCTGAGATCAAGTCTTGGTTGATAGCTTTCACCTTGGGAAAGGGTTAGCTAGACGATCAAGCTATACCACCCCTGTTCTATTGTACTGCTGGGTTTTTGTCTCTTTTTGCAGGTGTATGCGAACTCGATCGAGTCGGTCTACAGAGGACTTGGTCGAGCTAGACTTTACAACGGGTAGAAAGAGGGTTCAGAGTTCACAAAGGGTACAAGAGGAACCTGAGGATGCCATCAAGTTGAGACTCTTCCCTATGTCTCTGCTGACAAAGCTCACCAATGGGAGAAGAGCTTGCCCCATGGCACAATCACCACTTGGGATGAATGCAAGAAGGCCTTTCTTGCTAAGTTTTTCTCCACCGGTCGCACAGCCAAGCTAAGAGTGAGATCTCGAGTTTCATACAGAGGAACAATGAGACTTTTGCTGAGGCTTGGGAGAGGTTCAAAGGGCTACACAAGTCAGTGCCCACATCATGGATTCAACAATGAATCACTACTCTCCACTCTTTATAGAGGTTGCTTGGCAAGGTATAGGGAGATGCTAGACACAGCTAGCAATGGGAACTTCCTCAACCAGGATGTAGATGATGGCTGGCAACTTGTGGAAACATAGCAAACTCAAATGGAAGCTATGGAGAAGAGTATGATCGCACCAATCGGAGCTCGACCCACCACTCGATCGAGTCAGACGAGAAGTTGAGAAAAGATGTTAAGGCATTGAATGAGAAGTTGGATAAGCTGGTCTTAGCTCAGTCCACTATGAAGAAGGTCAACTTTGTGTCTGCTGAAGAGATGGAACCAGTCCAAGAAGGGGAGGATACACAATTTGCTGAGGTGTGTTACATGAGCAATGGGCAAGGAGGCTACAACAAAGGATACTATAATTACAAGTCCAACCCTGCCATGTCATACGAAACACTGATGTTGCTAACCCTCAGGACCAAGTCTATCCTCAACAACAAGCAGCTCGATCGAGTCAAGCGCCACAACATGGGTATGGTCAAAAGAACAATTACCAAGGACCCCAAGGGACTTTCCCTGGACAACAAATGAATATACCACCAGGCTTTCCCCACCAACCACCCAGCCTGCACCTACGCAAGAGAATGAGCTCAAGGCAATGCTGAAACAACTGCTCAAGGGCAAGCTGATGGGGTAGTGGACACAAGCAAGAAGCTAGCTGAAATAAACTCCAAGATCGAGAATCTCAACACAAGAGTTTACTCTCTGGAGAATCATGCTTCTTCTGTTGCTGCTGCTACAAAGCAAGGACAACTACCTGGTAAAGCTATTCAGAACCCCAAGGAACAGTGCAAGGTCATCTTCACTCAAGAAGGACTTGTTGAAAAAGAGGATGAAGAGAGGGTCATTGAAGATTTTTGTTTACTGCTGAATAATCGCGGGATCAGGTCTTCCCCTTTCCTATCCCTGATTCTGCAAGTGCACAGGTCAGAAGTAGTAAACGGGTATCGAACACAAGGACCAGATTGCACACTACAAGTTATGAGTTTGAGAACAAGCTAGGGCAAAAGTATAAGTTGGTTGAGTGCAGAGAAAGTAAAGCATGCAAGTAATGAAAGTAAGAATTCAATAGGAGAGAAAGGCTAAGCAATAGGATAGTCTTGAGATAAGCAATTCAAGAAGCATGAAATCAATCAATTAGGGTTACCGCACTTAGGTGCTAATCTAGAACTTGAAACACTATGGTATGATCATTCCACTGTCGAGGCTCCGACCCCTTTGTTAATCTACCTAGTCGCTAAACTTTTGGTATGTCCCTAGGTGATTAAATCAAGCATTAGTTCGATCAAGATCAATTGTTCACAACCTACAAGTAGATCAACTGTCGCAGTCTAAAAGAGATTGCCCACCAAATACTAGTTCAGGCGAATGATACAGCACTGTCGAGGCTCAAATCAACCTAAAGGCATATGCTAATTGGCCAGATTAACAACAAGCATTAAGTATAAGCAAAGATGGAGATTATAAGTAAAACCCTAATTGTGATCAATCATCAAGCATCATGAATGCTATCCTTTGACTTCCTATCACTTAACAAGTAAACTACTCAGACATAGAGAAGGAAACGAATTCATATTCATAAGAACAGAGATTCGAATCCTCTCTAGAAAGAGTAACAAGCAAGAACAAAGTAAAAGCAAGCAAAACTTTATTAAGATGTAAAATAGATTGTGGTCTCTCTCCTTCTTGAGTTACAAGGCTAAAAAGAAGTATTTATAATGCTCTAAGTATAAGAGACGGCTAAACCTAATCTAGCTAGGTCGGCGCCGGCTTTGGGCTTGAATTGTGCGGATTGGGCTTCAAAAACGGCTTCGGGTCGACCGCGGCGTTCGGACGGTCGGTCGGGACGATCGGCCGGACAGTCGGGTCTTGGCCGAGTCGGAACGGTCGTGGCCGGATGATTCGTCGGCGGCTGGTCGGACGGATGAATTGGCCGATGGAAATCTCGGCCGGACGTGGCATAGTTCCCCGGCTCGGACGGATGCGTTCGGCCGTGGTACGCGAGGAGTTGCGCGGCCGCGAGGCTTTCCCGGCTCGCGCGCTTTGGTCGTGCGCGGTTGTGGCGTGGCGTTGTGGCTTGGCCGACCGCGGGCAATGTTTCCCGGGTCGTGATGCGTGATCGGCCGAGCGGTTTGGACTTTGGCCGAGACTTCAGTCGGACGGAACGGTTTTGGCCGAGCGCGGAACATTCGTTCCTCGGCCAGCCGGACTGCGCGTTCGGGCGCTGATTCTCGATATGGCCGTCTGGAGCAGTCTTCACTCTTTTGGCTATAACTCCTTTTCTACTCATCCAAATGAAGCCATTCCAGTTGCGTTGGAAAGTTAACTCAATCAGAGCACGCAGGGAACTGGTCTTGATGAAATCCATTGAGTAGATCTTTTTCTAGCTCCATCCAAAGTTGATGCAGGGGCATTGAACTGGTTTAGAGTCCAAATCTCCTGTTTTGCTCCATAATGCACCTTTTTACCTAAAATGACTCTTTGCACTATAAATCCATAAAAACTACCTTTTAACACAAGAATCCACTAGAAAACCATTAGAAAACCATAGTAAAATAGCATAAAAAGTAGGTAAAATAGAGGTATATCACTGAATGATGAGAGATTGTTGCTGCTGAGGCTCCTGGAGTCCAGATTGATCAACCAGAAGTGCAGGCACCTACTGTGGCCATTCACACTTCACCAGTTGAGCTCGCACAACAAGCTCGATCGGCAGCTCGATCGAGTCCGAACTCTAGCTCGATCGAGTCCGACCTCTTCTGTCCAAACCAATTTTGCTTGATCCTTACCAACCGGTTGCCACTTCCTCGTCTCGCCTACTTAGTCAAGGTCACAAGGAAGTGATTCACAAGTTCAGAAGAGATCTCAGTGGGATTGGAATTGAGTTGCCTCCTATGGATAGCATGAGTGAGGCATTTGATCAAATGCAAATGGTCAAGGATGTTCTAGCCAACAGTGATAAAGTTTCAGAGGTCCTGAAGAGTCTACTCATCAGTTCAACCTGCTTACTTCACCCACCTTTCCTACCAAAGGTCAAGGATCAAGGGAAATTCACTCTCCCTTGCACACTTGGGCATCTTGAGCTTGACAATGCCTTAGTGGATTCTGGAGCAAGCATCAATCTGATCTCTCTCTCCATGGCAGAGAAGCTAGGCATTGCTGGAGCCTTGCAGCGCCCTACTACTTCAATCATGTTTGGAGATGCAACTTCTAAGTCTCCTCTTGGAGTGTTCAAGAACTATCACTTGAAAATTGGAGAATGCATCATCCAAACTGATCTCACTGTGATGGAAATGGAAGAAGAGAAGGATCTACCTCTGTTATTGGGAACCCCTTTCCTTAGTACAGTTGGCGCTTCAATAGACTTTCACAAGCAAGAAGTGATCCTTCACAAGGTGAATAGTTTGGTGTCATATCGCTTGCAGCCTAGAGGTTCAGACTTTTGTGCCACAATTGACAGTACCACTCTCAGTTCTAAGAGTCATGGAGCTACAAAGGTTGTGAAGGAAAGGGTTGACAAAGAACCAAGAGTTGGGAAGGATAAGGTTGAGAGAGGACCAAGGATTGAGAAGCCACGTCTTGAGAGGGCTAGAGTTGAGAAACCACGTTCTGATAGGCCACGAGCTGATAGACTTGTTCAAGCCCCTTGTGTGCTTGATGAAGAGAGCCTTCAAGCTTTGTTTGATGAGCCACTAGGAAGGGCTCTAAAAGAAGGGGAGGATGTAGCCTCTAAGGCAAGACCAGGTGATAAAAGAAAGGATCCACCAGCTCAGGCCCCTTCATCAAGCCATCTCAGCTCACAATGACTTTGTTCCCCACCAAGTTTGAAAATGGGAAGATTGAGTACAAGATAAGGTACAAGGGGAGATCAAGGCCATTCTCTAGAGCCAAAGCCTTGGTGACTTCAGAACAGTCCAGGGACCCAACCAAGCTAAAGGAGCTTCTGTCTCAAGTCCTCACTATCACCCTTGATGGTGGGACTAGCTCAACCAATGCCTAAGAAGGTAAAGGTCAAGCTATGGGACCTTAAACAAGCTCACTTGGGAGGAAGTCCCATGTTTATCCTTGTACATATTCTATTTATGCAATTTCTATCTATTTTCTGTCTTTAACCTTTCAATAAGTTAAGTTTAGGTGACAAAGGAGCCAGCTCGACCGACAGCTCGATCGAGCTAGAAACAGGGCAACTCGATCGAGTTCCTCAACTCGACCGAGGTAAGTTTTTGAATTTCAAATTTCTAACCGTTTTCTTGGTCAAGGGAGTGGGTCCCACAAATTTTGGTCCCCCACTACCCTAATTGATCAGAAAAACCCTAGCTTTTGTCCCTCTTTATTTCACTTTTAATCTCAACCACACATCTCAAACACTCCCTCTTCCCCATAACTCGATCGAACCCCTTCTCCACTCTCCCACACTCTAAAATTTCTGAAAATCATCTCTCTCTCTTCACCACAAGAAAATCGATTTCAATCTTTCTCTCTTAAGTTTTTGCGATTTCCTCTTGTTCTTCATTGTTTTGTTTGGGTTCTAGCTTACTGTTCTTCAATTCATCATTCAAGCAAGGTATGAACCCTAAACCCTTGATTCCTTCCATCTCGATTTCTCATATTGCTTGTTTCCTCTTTGATTTTGATTGCATGTGCCCCTTGTGGTTTATTCTTGAGTAATTGCTTTCATATCATTCTCCTGTTTATATTGTGATTTGCCTCACCTCACCTCTGTTTTCACTATTAGAACTTGTTGCATGTGCTTGAAAATTGAATTTGAGTTTGGTATTGGTTAAGATGCTTTGTTTTCACTAGAATTGCTCATTGTTCCATTTACTAGTTGTTCTTGGTTCAATTTGATTGATTAGCATCCTTTCCAGCTCTTAATACTTGAATTAGGTTCGGTTATACTCTGTTTTCACCTAGCTCGATCGAGTTTGTCACTCGAGTTTTTTGACTCGATCGAGCTGAGTGTCGAGTTGACCAAACCGATCATTACAACTCTAATTCTTTGTAATCTTTGATGCATTTCAGGTACTTTAGTGAAGAAACAGTGTAACAGAGATGACAAACAGTGAGGGAAGTCGCGCTTCACAGAGGAGAATGGTTGAGGGTGAATCAAGCAATGCAAGGGAGAGAAGGCTTAAGATGCAAGCCGATTTGGAGGAATGACTCAAAGGATGGAAGAGTCTGATGCAGAGGAGTATGTGTACTCTGAGGAAGAGTCTGAGAGCGAGAGATTGAGGGAGGAAAGGAGGACCAAGAAGAGGAATGACCCCATTAGTAGTGAGAGTGAGCAAGGGGAGTTTGAGATTGGAGTGAACCTTGTTCAAGAGGAGGGAAATGGCTCTCCAAGTGAAGAAGGAAGTGATGAGACTGAGAGTGAAGAGGAAGGAGAAGAGGTGAATCAGTTGGTTGAAGAGAGTGAGCAAGAGAGTAACCAAGATGAACCTATGGAGGAGGTTGAGCCACAAGAGGAGCCGCAAGAGGAGGAGAAGAACTCCCTATGTACCAAGAGCACTACAATGCTCTCTTCTCCATGGACTTTGTGGAGACCAAGTACCCACATGTTGACACAATGAAGGCCCTTGGAATCTTTGAAGATGTGGAGCTGGTTCTCAAGAACATGCACTTGGCCAAGTTCTTCTCTATCACATGGAATCCTACAAGGAGCTCACTTGCGAGTTCTTGGCTTCAATGAGGTACCACATGTACGATGAGGAAGATAGAGCTGATTTGGACCAAGGATTGGGATGGATCACGTTCTTGGCTAAGGGAGAGAAGAGAATGGTGACCTTTAGGCAGTTGGAGATCTTGTTTGGGTTCAACTATGGAGAAGGTAAGTGGAACTTCAAGGAAAGGAACTCCAGAGGGTTTGGGCTACAATCGCTGATGGAGTGTACTCTTCCTCAAGGTCCAAGGCTGCTCAAATCAGGAGCCCAGTGTTGAGGTATGTGCACAAGGCACTTGCCAACACCTTCTTTGCAAGGAAGGCAACCGGGACCATTAACGAGGGGGAACTCAAGCTTCTTGACATGGGAATCAAGCCCATCTCTCACGCACAAGCGATGGCAAGAGGATCAGGGGAGATAGAGCCAACACAGGAAACTTGATGCCTTTCCTTGATCACCTCCCACCTACAAGACCACAGCCTACAACACTCGATATCAACAAGGGAGACGCCTAAGTGTTGGAGGGCTCATCACTCCTATCTTGTGTGCTGCTGGAGTGAACCCAACTGATAAGAGAGCCACTGAACCAGGTTGGATGGACATCAAGTTTTGCAAGACCAACCTCCTCATTGAGCACAAGGAGTTGGATGGGAGGTTCCAATTCAAGTTCACACATCCATTGGTTGGACCTTCCAAGTTTCTCCTGCCCAACTGATGCGATCATGGACAAGGAGGTTCAGGAAACACAGCTTTTGGCCGAGGAAGGAGATGGAATGGAGCAGCTTGTAGCTGAGGAAGGACTTGAAGCAGAGCAGCTTGTACCTGAGGAGAGTTTAGCCATTCCAACTGGCCCAATCACTCGTTCAAGAACTAAGGCACTAAACCAAGCAATTGGCAAAGTCCTTAGCGCCTTGAACCAACAAGAAACCAAGCCAACTACTCTGGTTTGCTTGAAGGCCTTAACAATGGGATAAAGAGACAAGTGTGCTTGGTGTGCTCTTTTTCCCTTGTCAAGTTTTTGTCCCTATGGGTTTTCTTGACAAGGTTTTTAACGAGGCCCATTGCACACTTCCAAATCCTCTCTTTTCTCATTTGTGAAGGTCCGGCCCAATATTTCAAAGGAGAGCGCCAAGACAACCTTCTTTACTCAGTCTTTGTTTCATTTATGTTTTGTGAATTTTCGAGATGTTTTGGAGCTTGTTCCAACATCTCTCTCTCTCTCTCTCTTCTCTCTCGTTTTCTTTAAAACCCTAGTCTTCTCTCTTTGAAACTTATCAATCAATTATTATCAAAACCTCTCTTTTTGTTTGATCATCTCTGTTCACTTGTTGTGCGTAATATCAACTAAGTCCACAGATTTCCTTTCACTTGTTGTGTGTAATATCAACAGTTGAAGGTGGTGTTAGAGATCTCTTCCGCGGGTTCTCTAGTATAGCCATTCGATTCATCTTTCCAATCCGCTCAAACACTTAGCTTTCAAGCCGATCTCGATTTTTATGTTTATGACTGTTCATCTTCTAAATCTGAGAATCGTAGATCTTGAATATGATTTTGCTTTGTTGTTGTGCTATTGATCGTTTCTTTGTTTCCATTGTCATTACCTTCACATCCAATGCTTGTTTACTCATCAAGGTTACTTTTCGATCATTTGAAATCATTTGTTCATCATCCATCACTTGTTTCATCATCATTTGATCATCATCGCCCATCACTGCATTTTTAATTTATTCCATAATTTTAATAATTTTGTCACAATTTATTCTGGTCATTTTCATATAGATCTGTCATCTCTGAGTGGTTGCATAATTTTTAAAATTGTTTCTATGATTTTTAAAATTGTTGCAACAATTTTCCTTTGAACTTTTGACTGCCGCGTTTTGTTTAAATTTCAGGTACTATGGCGTCGAAAAGGAAGAAGGATCAAGCGGTGTTGGAGAGGCCTTGCTAGATCAGATCAAGAAGATGATGGCAGAGGAGTTTGATCGGAGAGACAGATCAAACAGGCAAAAGGAAGGAGACTAGGGATACATATCTCCGATGGAGACAAGAGGAACGATCCCATGGCATCTCATGGCTCGGTGACGATCAGGCTCATGTCTACTACGGTAGCGGTCATTCCTCTCACTCAAGCCGGCGCCGATCTAGAAGCCGCGAGATGAGCCAGACCGTATGTTGGAAAACTTGGGCGGTTACAAAATGAAGATTCCACCGTTCCATGGCCGGAACAATCCAGACGAGTACATGGATTGGGAAAAGAAGTGCGAGTTCAATTTCAACTTGCACAACATCATTGGAGACAACCGTGTCAAGCTAGCCGTCTCGGAGTTCAACGATTATGCGTTGAGATGGTGGGAACAAATCATTTTGGCTCGCGAGATTGGTGGTGCCTTTGAGGTTACCACTTGGGAAGAAATGAAGCGCATCATGAGGCAGCGATTTGTCCCTGGCCATTACCAACGTGAGCTACACTCCAAGCTCAGGAAGCTTACTCAGGGTCCAAGTCTGTGGAAGAATATTATCAAGAGATGGAGGTATGCTCTTGCGCGCCAATGTGATTGAAGACCGCGAGGCCACTATGTCTCGATTCCTTGGAGGCTTGAACCGTGAGATACAAGACATCGTGGAGATGCAAAATTGTGTGGGCTTGAGTCCATGCTCCACAAAGCTGTCTTGGCCGAGACACAATTAAAGAGGAGAAGCTCCACTCGATTCAATACAGAGCCGCGCCGACCAACCTTTCACCGCGACTCAAGTCCTTCGCGCCCAAGTCAGAAACAAACCTCTGGCTACTAATCAAGACAGGAGCCGGACTGAGCGCACTCCACCAGCCAGAACCCGTGATCTCAAGTGCTTTAGGTGTCAAGGGTTTGGGCATTATGCCTCTGATTGCTTGAACAAGAAAGTGATGATCATCCGCGACAATGGAGAGATTGAGTCCGAGGAGGATCCAGAGCCGGAGAAACCAGAGGAGAAGAAGAACCTGAGGAGTATGAGGCTGTGCCTGTCCAAGGCAAACTCTGGTAGCAAGGCGTGTCTTGAGTACTCAAGTCAGACTGACAAGGATGAGCAGCGCGAGAACCTCTTTCACACTCGTGCTTAGTTCAAGATAAGGTGTGCAGCTTGATTATCGATGGAGGAAGCTGTACCAATGTGGCGAGTGAAACTATGGTTGAAAGTTGGGCTACTATCAAGAAGCATCCGCGCCTTATAAGCTTAACTGGCTGAATGAAACTGGAGAGATGAGTGTCAAGAACCAAGTGGTTGTGCCTTTGTCTATTGGCAACTACAAGGATGAGATCCTTTGTGACATTCTGCCTATGGACGCCGGTCACATCATCTTAGGGCGGCCTTGGCAATCTGATAGACGTGTGATCCATGATGGATTCACAAACCGCTACACTCTTCTTCATGAGGGCCGTAAAACCACTTTGATTCCTTTGAGTCCACAAGAAGTCTATGAAGATCAGTTACAACTCGCTGGAAAGAAGTTAAGTCACCTAAGTCTCCTAAGCCAAAGAACTTCCTGGTGAAGCCAAAACAGGTTAAACGTTCCTTGAACTTAAACAAACCTTTTCTCTTATTTATATATAAGGAACACTTGATTGGCTTGACTCACACTCCACCGGAGATTCCGAGTGAACTAGCTCAACTTTTGCAGGACTTTAGCGATGTGTTTCCTGATGATAGTCCACCAGGCTTGCCTCCTGTCCGAGGTATTGAGCACCAGATTGACTTTGTCCCCGGCTCCACTTTACCAAACAGGCCGGCTTACAGAACCAATCCGGTTGAGACCAAGGAGCTTCAGCGCCAAGTGGATGAACTCATGGAGAAAGGCCACATTAGAGAGAGCATGAGCCCTGTGCTGTTCCTGTTCTTCTTGTTCCTAAGAAGGATGGAAGCTGGAGGATGTGTGTCGACTGCCGCGCCATCAATAACATCACTGTAAAGTATCGACACCCTATTCCTAGACTTGATGACATGTTAGATGAGTTACATGGCTCTTGCATCTTCTCTAAGATTGATCTTAAGAGTGGATATCACCAAATCCGGATGAAGGAAGGTGATGAGTGGAAAACCGCCTTTAAAACCAAGCATGGTCTATATGAGTGGCTTGTGATGCCATTTGGCTTGACCAATGCGCCAAGTACTTTCATGCGGTTGATGAATCATGTCTTAGGTCTTTCATTGGTCATTTTGTGGTTGTTTATTTTGATGATATCTGATCTATAGCAGGACCTTTGATGATCATCTTAAGCATCTTGCCGCGGTCATGAAAGTTCTAGGGAGGAGAAGCTGTTCGCCAACTTTAAGAAATGCACTTTTTGTACAATAATGTGGTGTTTCTAGGTTTTGTGGTGAGTGCAGATGGCGTACAGGTTGATGAAGAGAAGGTCGCAGCTATCCGGGATTGGCCTAGTCCTAAGACCGTTGGAGAGGTCAGAGCTTTCATGGCTTGGCCGGATTCTATCGGCGGTTTGTTAAGGATTTTAGCACCATAGCCGCGCCAATGACTGAGATTATCAAGAAGGAAGTTGGTTCAAGTGGGAGAAGGCACAGGAGGAAGCATTTCAGACTCTTAAGGATCGACTTACTAATGCACCTGTTCTTATGTTGCCTGACTTTCTTAAAACTTTTGAAATTGAGTGTGATGCCTCAGGAATCGGAATAGGAGCTGTTCTCATGCAAGACAAGAAGCCGATTGCCTACTTCAGTGAGAAACTTGGAGGAGCCACTCTCAATTACCCAACCTATGATAAGGAGCTCTATGCGCTGGTCCGAGCCTTTGCAAACTTGGCAGCATTACTTATGGCCCAAGGAGTTTGTTATCCATACTGATCATGAATCACTCAAGCACTTCAAAGGCCAACAGAAGCTCAACAAGAGGCATGCTCGCTGGGCCGAGTTCATAGAAACCTTTCCCTATGTGATCAAGTACAAGAAAGGTAAGGACAATGTCGTGGCCGACGCATTGTCTAGACGGTATACACTTCTCTCTACTCTTGATGCCAAACTCTTAGGCTTTGAGCAAATTAAAGAACTATATGCTTCTGATGCTGATTTTTCTGATATTTATCAAGCTTGTTCTAAGTTTGCTTCTGGTCGATATGTGAGACAGGATGGGTTTCTCTTTTATGAGAACCGCCTTTGTGTGCCTAATTGTTCTTTGAGGGACTTGTTTGTCAGGGAAGCACATGGAGGAGGACTTATGGGACATTTTGGAGTTGCACCAAGACTATACAGATCATGAGAGATCATTTCCATTGGCCACACATGATTAGAGATGTGGAGCGCATATGTGCTCGCTGCACCACTTGTAAGTTGGCCAAATCCAAGGTCCAACCCCACGGTTTGTATACTCCTCTCCCTATTCCATCACAACCTTGGACTGATGTTTCCATGGACTTTGTTCTTGGTTTACCCAGAACTAGACATGGAAAGGATTCCATTTTGTGATTGTGGATAGATTTTCTAAGATGGCTCATTTTGTTGCATGCAATAAAACTGATGATGCATCTCATGTTGCTGCATTGTTCTTTAAAGATGTCATTAGATTGCATGGCATGCCGCGCACCATTGTTTCTGATCGTGACACTAAGTTCCTTAGTTACTTTTGGAAAACCTTGTGGTCTAAGTTAGGGACTAAGCTTTTATTTTCCACCACTTGTCATCCCCAAACTGATGGTCAAACTGAGGTTGTAAACCGGACTTTAGGAACCTTGTTGCGTGTGCTGCTTAAAAAGAATCTTAAGAATTGGGATGATTGCTTGCCTCATATAGAATTTGCTTATAATCATTCTGTGCATTCAGCATCTAAGTTCTCTCCTTTTGAAATTGTTTATGGGTTTAAACCCCTGTCACCTTTGGATTTAATGCCTCTGCCTTTGAGTGAAAGGTTGAGTACAGATGGACAGAAGAGAGCTGAGATGGTGAAGAAGATACATGAGCAGGCAAAGAAAAACATTGAGGAAAAGACAAGGCAGTATGCCAAGAAAGCCAACAAGGGACGGCGCGAATTAATCTTTGAGGCTGGAGATCAAGTTTGGATTCATCTTCGCAAAGAAAGATTCCCAGCCGAGCGCAAGTCCAAGCTATGCCGCGCATTGATGGCCCTTTCACAGTCACCAAGCGAATCAACAATAACTCTTATAGAGTTGATCTCCAAGGTAAGTACAATATCAGTCCTAGTTTTAATGTTGCTGACTTATCTCCTTTTCTTGCAGATGAACCAGATTTGAGGTCAAATCCTTTTCAAGAGGGAGGGGATGATGCGATCATGGACAAGGAGGTTCAGGAAACACAGCTTTTGGCCGAGGAAGGAAGATGGAATGGAGCAGCTTGTGCCGAGGAGGGACTTGAAGCAGAGCAGCTTGTACCTGAGGAGAGTTTAGCCATTCCAACTGGCCCAATCACTCGTTCAAGAACTAAGGCACTAAACCAAGCAATTGGCAAAGTCCTTAGC